TTTTTTTTTTTTTTTTTTTCTTCTTCTACTTTGTTTTTCTCCAACTTGTTGTTTTGTTCTTGGTTGTGGTTACTGAACATCCTGTCGAAGGTCATACACTAGTTCATGTGAATTGACATGTTTATACTTTATGATATTGTTTGTAAGTAATACTACTCCTGAACAGAAGCTTGTCTCGTTTGAGCCTTTGTAAAGACAGCGTTAAACTTTTTCTGTGCAGGATTATGCATGGATAAAAGCTGGAATGATTTTTCCATTTCACGAGTACATGGACAGGTGAACAAAGTGATGTTGTTTTTAACATATGCTAAGTGAGGGAAGTTGGATTAAGTTTGTTTGATGTTAGATTTCAGGGGCAGACTAAGTTGCATGGTAGTAAGCCAAGTGATTTCCTTGCGGCTATAGAGGAGGCAGTTTTAATAGAAAATGGCTATGGGAAGTCAGACATAGGAATGGGGCATGAAACATTACCTTTGGCGAATAATGGTGATGGTGTAGAAGCAACTGGTTCAAATCAGGGGTCTGAATGTAATATTCAGCAGGCAAGTCCCTATTGTGCTTGCTAACCTACTGCTGTAAAAAAAATGCAAAAGAAATAAGAACAGAACAAAAAAAGAAATTCTGAGTCTTCATTGATGGGTGCTAAATTTAGTAGTTCACTGGATTTTTCTACTTCAAGATTTTGTGAGACATTGATGTTTGTAAATATTTGTTGTTTCATGTCATGTTACAAGTACCTATCAAGCACTTGGAGGCATTTTAGGTGCAACTGGTCGATTTACAGCTGACACACTGCAATCTAATTTCCTAAATTGGCTGCCTAAATTTACAACTCCAAAGAATTGTGCCTTTTGAAGTGTTGTCCAACTTCATTTTGTCTCTGTGTTACAGGACATGTTGGGTAAAAAGAAAGATACCCGAACTTGTGGAAGCTGTGGTTTGTTATTTCCATGCAGAATGGTGAAAAAAATTAAGAATACAACAACCAAGGCTCATTTTTTGTGTGAACATTGTATTAAGGTGAGTGTAATGATTATCTGTCACTTCAAATCAACTCTATAATCGTCTTATCTTATTTCGGATGATTTCTAACTTTTGGAAATGGTATTTTTGTAGTTAAGAAAATCTAAACAATTCTGTGGTATTTGCAAGCAAATTTGGCATCATTCTGATGGTGGCAGTTGGGTGAGATAATCTGGGATTTTTCTTATCCTCCTTGTGCGCTTGTGCATGCATGTTCTACAGAGTAGACTAATAATTTGACATATTCTCCTTTTGTTTTTTCTAAATTATTATGGTCAGGTATGTTGTGATGGTTGTAATGTTTGGGTCCATGCTGAGTGCGCCAACATTTCTACTAAGCTTTTGAAGGTTTGCCGACAGATCTAATATATTAAAATTGATTTCATTCTACTCTCTTGTTGGCCTCGGACAAATTATGTTGTGTAGCATTTGACCTATAATATTGCTTGTAGGAACTGAAAGGTATGGACTACTTCTGCCCTGAGTGCAGAGCTAAACCATCATCTGAGCGATTGGCTTTGGATAATCAGCAACTAGCTCTTAGGTACTGGTCTTCCTTGTGCTTTTAGGCTATGTTTCTTGACAGGAGTTAATCAAGTATTTGTTTGTTTCTTTAGTGATTGGGGATGGAGGGATTTGATGGTATTAGATGAAAATGCACTGGGAAACGTAATATATGATTGTTTGATGCTTGCGGGAAGTGTGTAATTGGATATACCTTATGTTTCGAGACTAGAAGTGTGTAATTGGATATACCTTATGTTTCGAGACTACTATTGATTTGTATCTTTATCTATGTCTTACAGGCCTGCTGAGCAGCTTGAAAGCAAAAAACCGCCAGATACGATAACTGTTGTCTGCAATGGCGTGGAAGGCATATATTATTCAAGTCTCCATATGTAAGTTCAAACTTACATGAAGACGGATTATTTTCCTTTTTTTTTAACTGCTTCTTTTGGTACTAGTATGATTGAATGCACTCTTTAACTACTGAGCTAATGATCTTTACAATTATGATAAATACCCATTTGAATGAACAGTTACTGTAATTTATGTGGATATACGCAACATGATTGCTATTAAACTAATTATATTGGTGGGTTATCTTTTCCTTCTTGATTATTTCTTCTGATTCTTGATGAAGAATTTCACAGTTGATTTATTTCCATCTACAAGACAACATGTATCAGCTTCTTGGTTGGGCTTATATGATCTCTATAAAGTATAAGGGAAAATAAAATAGAAGTCAACAAGTTCTAGATGACAGATAGTTGAGATGCACTTTCACGTTTCTTTCTTAATGCGAAGAAAAATATGACGACTTTATTAAAATTGGAGAAATCATTTCCTGTATAAACTGTTACTCATCTCAGGGTTCAGTGTACTTGTGGTTCATGTGGTTCAAAGAAGTGTGGGCCCAGTGAGTGGGAACGGCATACAGGATGCAGAGCGAAGAAATGGAAGCACAGTGTTAAAGTGAAGGGTTCTAAGTTAACACTTGAAAAATGGGTTTGTTCTTGAACAAGTTTGTCTTTATTATGTCTTATTCAAAAGGCTTTATCTCAAAGAACACTGTTGATCATCAATTCATCATATTCGAAATAAGACAAAAAATCTACAGGAACATAAAGTTTTACATCTCTAAGGTGAAAATGTGGTTGTCTACCTTGTTTTTTGCAATATAGAATATGCTCATCACTTTGGTCATTCTCTATACAAACATTATAACATGCTAATAAATCCAATCTCAAGTACATGGGTTTATATGGAATCAGTTTTCTTAATGTTATCTAATAACAGCAGTGTGATGCAGATGGCACAATACAATTTATACAGCTTCAGTTCCACGCGGTTGGATAAGCGCCAGTTGTTTTCTTTCCTGAAAGGTTGTTGCCTCGTGTGCTTTGGTGCATAATAATCGTTTATTCTTGATAATGCATTTCTTATACATAGAACATATAGGGCCTCATCTCTGACTAGTCTTACTTTGCAGAAAACTACCAACCTGTTCATGCAAAGTGGACCACTGAAAGATGTGCTATTTGTAGATGGATTGAAGACTGGGACTACAACAAAATAATAATATGCAATAGGTATAGACTTTTGTAGTTGTATTCTTGTTGTTATAGACACCTAGTGAAAGCTTTTCTTTGTAACTAATTAATTCTCTATGTTCTAGATGTCAAATAGCAGTACATCAAGAATGTTACGGAGTGAGGAGCACTCAAGATTTTTCTTTGTGGGTTTGCCGTGCATGTGAAACCCCAGAATTTGAGAGGGAATGTTGCCTCTGTCCCGTAAAAGGCATGCTGTTATGCATAACTTGATGTCTTTTTAGTTAAAATTATGCGGTTTAAATGTCTTTGAATTTTTGTAATTGTAAACTGTTAAGCCAGGGGGTGCACTGAAGCCAACTGATATTGATGATTTATGGATTCATGTTACCTGTGCGTGGTTTCGCCCTGAAGTTGCTTTCTTACATGCGGAGAAAATGGAGCCTGCAGTTGGGCTTCTTAAAATTCCGCCAAATTCGTTTACTAAGGTAGAATAATTCAGAGGATTATCATATTGATAACTAGTGGTTGATTCAAGTTCTCCTCAAGAAAACTGAATAGATGACTAGAGTGATGATGTAGTATTTATCATTTTCGATGTTATAAAAGAAGTCCTAATAATTAGGCTTCATTGAGTTGTCTAGTGCAACTGGTTTAGCTACAAATTCGCTGTCACCTGTGTGAACTATAACTGAAGCATTTGGTTTCCTCTTCATCCAGTGGCAGTCATTTAATAATTTTTATTATCTTATAATTTGGAATTTTATTACTTGCAGTCATGTGTTATCTGCAAGCAGATTCACGGTTCTTGCATGCAGTGTTACAAGTGCACTACCTATTTCCATGCAACATGTGCTTCTCGTGCTGGATATTGCATGGAGGTATGCAAATACTTTTTTTTTTCTGTTCATTTGTTATTTTACACGCATCGACATTTTCTGCATCATGTTATATCTTTAGTTTCATTCCATTTGAAATCTTATTGGATTCGTTTTGAAGTATTTTTGTAAGAGTTGCTCTGTGGATTTTCTCATGTACTTTGCTCATGAACATCACCTGGATCTGCATTTATATTTTCTCTACTTAATTTTGTTTTTTGATTTCAGTTGCATTGCGACGAAAAGAATGGGTTGCAGATAACTAAATTCATATCATATTGCACTTTTCACAGGTATGATTATTTGCCCATATTTTTTGTTCCAATCTCGACAATTTTATAACACATGCTAATAAGAGTGTATTTGTTCTTTAAACAGATACTTCTGTCTCTGCTCTCAGTTATACATATTTGAGATTGCTGTAGTGTATATACACACAGTGATGCACATGTCACCATATAGTTGACATATAATATGCTCCAGATATCATATGAAAAAAACCTTTACTAGAGGGGGACCTACAACTACAATTGGGTAATTAAAGCTGTAACCATTATGATTCTAATGTGAATTCAAAAAACGATGCACAGTGAGTAAAGGCATAATTAATAATTCATTATGCAGAGGCCAAAAAAATTACTTGACCATATATATATATTTGCCTTGGCCTTTCTTCTTTATCCATTTGCTTTCAGATTACAACTTCTCAACACTTCTAGTATCTTTTTGTCTCAGGACACCTAGTGCAGAGAATGTGCTAGTGATACTTACACCGGATGGGGTTTTTTCCAACAAAAGTTTGCTGCAAGGCCAATATCAAGAACAACATTGTAGAGGTTCAAGGCTAATCTCAACAAATACTGCCAAGTGCTCAGATTCATCTCCTGCTGATTCTAGTGAATTTGAGGAGATGTCTGCTGCAAGATGCCGTGTTTACAATAGACCAAATGTTAAGGTTACCTGATCACGAGCTGTTGTCTGGACCAATTACCATAATATTTGCAAATGCTTTGCTTGTTATCCGTTCCTTTTTTCCCTTTTGGTTTTTCTCACCTGCCTGTTTCTTTTAATAGGTGAATGAACCTGAATCTGTTTTCCACCGCTTGATGGGACCTCGTTGGCATGCTCTATATGCCATAGATTCCTTAAACTATAATCATAAAGTAATTAGTATTCTTTTTCTATCTATCTATCTATCTATCTATCTATCTATCTACTATCTATATATCTATCTATCTCTCTCTCTCTCTCTATATATATATATATATATATATATATCTATATATATATATATAATAGTTTTGTGACTATTTATTTCTTATGGAGATAGTTGTTTGATCGTCTTCTCTGTCATTATATTCAGTATATTGAAGAGCCGATATCTTCTACATTCAGAGACCGATTGGAACATTTAAAGGTAAGATACCTATTTCCGCACTTTCCTTTGTTTCACTTCAGTTTGTTCTTTCCTAATTCATCCACAAAAGGAAATTATGTGGAATTTTCTTTTATATCTATATGTGTATGACTAATTACTTGGTTGATGCTTCAGAGAACAGAAAAATATCGGGTTTGCTTTGGTAAATCAAGAATTCATGGATGGGGCCTCTTCGCTAGGCAAAACATCCAAGAAGGAGAAATGGTAATATAAATCACTACCCTATTTTTCTTTTTTAAAAAATAAAGATGTCTAGTTTATGGTATGATCTTGCTTCCTCTCTCATTTTTAATCACAATACTTAAACTCCGTACAATCTCGAATTATGGCACTTGTCCAGGTTGTAGAATATTGTGGTGAGCAGGTGAGGCGCAGTGTTGCCGACCTAAGGGAGAAACGGTATGGTTTGGAGGGTAAAGATTGCTATGTAAGTCAACTCTTCAACTCTTGTTTGGTGCTACGTTATATTAGAAAACTGACTCGATAAGTATTATGGTTAGTTGCAGAAAATACCCTTGGCTGCATTCTCAAACTACTTAAAAAAAAGGAAAAAAAAAAGCACTTTTGATTTTCAGATTTATAATTGATACCCTTGATATTTATTTCCATTTCACAGATTGCATCTCTCAGTAATTTTTTAATTTTATTTACAGGAAAAGCAAGTCTTATTGAGTTGTCTGTAATATCTGTGGGGAGGGCATTTTTAGATTTGATAGAAACTTTAGATGTTTCTCTGATTAGGTCAAACTTCAAATCACTAGGATAAAAAAGCTTTCATTCATTCTCGTTTTTGTATTCCCTGGGTTCATTTCATGTAACGTACAAATCGGAACTTTGGATTCTTTCTGTGTATGCTTGTCTGCCTCGGTTTTTCTTTGAATATTTTTGCCACAGCTGTATCATGTTTTCTTATTTTCACTCATCTAATGAATTTGCAATGTTCTAATTGTTCGATGCAATGCACTATGCAGCTTTTCAAGGTCAGTGAGGAAGTAGTAATTGATGCCACAAATAAAGGGAATATTGCTCGCTTGATTAATCACTCGGTATGCTCTTCTTTCATGTATTTGACCATTTTTTTTCCTTTATAATTATATTCATCTGGTATCCCAAGTTTGGTAAATAGCACATGTCGAATTAATTGAAGTATGTTTGGGGAATTATTTTGGCTAGCATGATTTATTTGCGATGTATCATTGTGCTGGATGAAATATGGAATCACGGGTCACTATGCAAATTCTTCTTTTTGGGGATATTATGAAAGTACCCTGATGATTTACCTTAATTGCACAGGACTCCAATTTTTTCAATTCGAAATTCCTTATATACTACATTACGTTACACACTTGGCAAAAGCACCTACTGATTTGTTCTGCAATTTGTAAAATCATTCAAATGTAAATGGGTGTTTTTGAATTTTGAAATATAGAACTTTTGTAATCAGACTCGACTAAAATGATATTGCAGTGCATGCCCAATTGTTATGCAAGGATCATGAGTGTGGGTATAGAAGAAAGCCGCATAGTTCTTATAGCTAAGACCAATGTCTCAGCTGGTGACGAGCTAACGTACAATTACTCTCTTCTTCCTGCATCTCATTATTGATTATATACTTTTTTATAAAAAAAAACAATAATAATCGAGTGTATTTTCTTTGTTATTGTTCTTACCAGGTATGATTATAAGTTTGAGGCTGATGAGCCGGAAGAGGTTAAAGTCCCTTGCTTTTGTAATGCTCCTAACTGCAGAAAATTCTTGAACTAAAAGAAAATAATGTTTTGTATAGCTGCTTATGGGAACTGACCCTTTACTTCATGTAAGTTTTCCTTTTGTTTCCACAGCAGTTTTCTTGGATATTTTTTATTATTATTATTATTATTTTTTTTGTTCAAATGTTAATTTCCTGTTCCAGATACCTTTGTAAATCATATGAGGAACTTTTAAAAACTTGGAATTATTCTGATATTCTAATTTACTAGTGAGATTATTGTTAGTCATGTCATAAAATGGTGAGTGTAACATTAGAAAATAGTGGAAGTTATTTGGGGTTGTAAACGAGTTAAGTTCAAGCCCGGGTGCTTGAGCTCGAACCCTTATTAAGGAGTTGAGTTTGACTTTGTTCGTTAAGTAAACAAGCCAAAAATTGAGCTTGAGTTGGACTCGTTTATCCGTCTTAATGAGTTGAGTTCAAGTTTTAACAAGCCGGTCTCGAGATTTAACAATTTGAACTTTAGAAAATTTTCTAAAAATTCTCTTTTATCAAACAAGTTGAGCCAAACTTGAGTCCTAATGAGTCGAGTTCACGAGCGGCTCATTTCATTTAACAATTATGGATTGTAACTACATTGGTGTCATTTTTTTAGGCACATGATACATATTGAATAGAGGATTCAATCCTATCCAATTTTTTTACTGTTTGATCAATATATGGAATTATAGTAATGCTCTCCTACCCGCGGTTGACACATGTTACTATGTCTATCGTTTATGTGACGTGCAAACATTGATGATTTTTTAATATATTAAAAAAAATACATCACCGATGTGTGTATGTCACATAAGTGGTGGACATATTAACATGTGTCTACTGTGTCTCTGGGTAGGTGAACGTTACTCTATAAATTATACATGTCCCTGTATTGATCCAATATTACAACACAATTGAAATTTTTCCAAATTGTGTGCTATAGTATACGTAAATAATATTTCATGAACATACGATTAAACTATAACCTATATGAAACCCAAAGGAACCCGAGTTTGTGCATAAAAATTACACTTACATAAGACTACCAAAATAAAAGAATAAATTAGTAGTGAATACGATCTTATTTTTTTTTAAACAACTTTTAGAAAACTACATTTTATTAATATTTAAAAATAAAACTATTACCCATCCTACGATATGGTAAATCAATAATTATATACCCTCCTATATTATAATAATTTTTTCTAACCCATCTTGGATAATGACTTGATAGATAAATTTATTTCATCAATAAGTAGTTTTATTATTTTTAAATTAATAATTAATTTTATTATAAATACAAATATATATTTATTTCTATATGCAGTATGGATGTAAAATCAAAATTTATCAAGAGACGATAAATTTGATATTTCATATTTGAAAATCTTATTAAAAATACAAAAAATTATTGATGTCTAAAATATTTAAAATTTAAATTAATTAAGTGTTTTATAATTTTAAAAATCATACTAATAGGTATGGATAAAAGCCTATATCTACGTGGAGTACTTAAAGCACAAGATGTTACAAAATGAGTGTCGGATACAACAAAAAAACTAGAGAAATTTGCACCCACACTATCAAATATATTTTATATTATATATTTACATCTAATTAATATTTATTAGAAAGATTCAAAATCACCCCAACATATTCGCACATATATTAGAATTCAAATTTAAGTCAATTTATCTTTTAATTAAAGAAGAAGTCGAATTATGTGTGATTTATGGATTGAAATTAATTTCCAGTTGTTATGTGTTCATTAACTCTCTTTCTCGTCTTTGTCATCCTCCTTTTTTTTCTTATATTCAAGAAAGTTGATCAATTTAGTTTATGTCGCCAAGACCAATCCTACATAGCACAAAAGTTTGGGGAATAATTATTCAAGAAAGTTTCTCATTATATTTTATTTGCTTCAATAAAAATGCTTAACAATTAAAAGGTGCACAATTTTGATAAATAATGTGTTTGTTTAAAGTAAAAGGCAATTATAATTTTTTATTATACCTAATTTATATGTTACTTTTTAAGGTAAAGTGTTCTTAATTGGTAAATTATTTTATGCTTGGAACACTTTTAAATGCAATTTGAGAAATTTTCATACCAAAAATTGAATATCTCAATAAAATTTCATACCAAAAATATTTCGCTCACTTTATACCATAAGTTACTTTATTAATTTCCGGATATAGTAAATAGAATTTTTTTGACGGGAAACAATTACTATTTTAAAAATAATCAAACATTTTCGCATAAATATAGATAAAAAATAATTATTATTATGTTTACATTAATTATTTAAAAATACACATTTAATTGTTAATAAGTGGTAAAGATTGCATATTCAATTCATACCAAATGCATATTTAGTTAATATCAAGCGCATATTACTTGGTGCATATTTACTTCATACATAATGTATACTAAGTTCAACGGGAAAAAATGTCAACGCCGAAAGTCAACGGTTAACGATCAATGGTCAAATGGTCAAGATAATATTTAAATAATTAAAATTATAAAAATAAAGAATTATTATTTAAATAAAGAATGAAATATTGACCACATATACTCATTAGTGGCTAGGAATGAATCTCATTATTATTCATCCGTATTTTTTATTTACAACATCATAATGACGTTCAAACTTTATATAAACTTTATTTAAGTCGAGACATAATTTTTTGAATATTTTTCATCTTCATTGTGTTTATACTCGATTTCCACATTTTTATCAGATCTATAAAAACAATATACTAAAGTAATTGTTAAGGTATATTAATAAATTTAATTTTTATTATTTTAAAAACTGATTTATAGTTTTATTTCATATTTCTTATTTGGTAGGATAAATAAAGTTAGATATTATTTATATAAACATATGAAATTATTTTTGTATTATATGTGCAACATGGATATCAAATCAAAAAATCGTTACAAAATAGTTATTTTGATATATCATATATGAAAAAAAAATATATATATATACAAATAAAAAAGTCAACTTTTACTACATAAGAAGAATAAATACTTATAACAATTAATATATAAATTAAATAAGAAAAAAAAAATAGTATATGGTAATTAATAAAAAAGAAAAGATAATATATGGTAATAATTTAAGAAAATGAAAGGTAAATTATTTTTATTGTAATTTCCAAACTCAGTTGTTAAACTAAGCCTATATATATGTCAATGCGAAACACAAAATTTGTACCAAATAAACTTTTGATGCCAGTCTTGATATTTAATCTCACTACATTCGAGAATTATATATAAAAGATATCATCGTATTGGATTTCGAATTAGTAATTGCTATGTACGTCTTTTGGGTCTCCTAATCTTAATATGTTTTTAATTAGTATTTAATTAATTGAATGAAAGATTCTTCCGGATATTTCTTTACATGCAAGAAATCTAATCTCAATTAATTAGTATTTAATTAATTGAATGAAACTATTGTCCAATTAATCCGCGAATTTAATTATTTGAGAGACTCAACTTAAAAGAATGGTTTCGTTGAAGAAGAAAGATGATGATCATCATCTTCTCCATAACGCCTCCAACACTTTGAAATCCCATTTTTCCAACTTTGTTAATCAAATTAATCCAAATAAATTATTATCAACCCCTAGTTTTTGTTCACTTTTTTCAAAAAACAATTGTAACCAAGCCTTGCCAACGGCCGAAATCAAGAAGCGTTTGGCCGGAATCCGCGCCTATAAGATAACCGACCGTTACGATACTCACGTGGGCCTCATCGGAAAGAATGGAGGCATTCATCTGTTGTACCTTGGTGAACAAGATGCTCACTCTTTCTTGAATAGAGTTGAATCTTTGGGTGATAAAGTTGACATGCATGTGGATGATTTAAGAGTCTATGATACACCTATTACTGAGGTACTATGTGATTAGGGTTTTTTTTCTTTCTTTTAAATTTAATGTTAGTTTCTTATAGAGTCATCCATACTTATTCACTAATGGTGTATTGACACGTATCTTACAATAAATACAATTTCAATTTGAACATGTGTCAACAAATTAAGTGATGGATGACTCCATAAGAAAATCATCCACCATCCGACTGACCAAGAATAAGGGGTTTTGTAAGATTTTTCAAATCGGACAATAAAATAAATTCGATAGTTAATCGAATACAAATACTCGAATATTTTCACGAATCTAATTCATTAATTGTTTTAATTTATATTTTTTGTTTTCTAACAATTAGATTCTCGATGTGGGAGTACACGACCCTTCAATGAGGCTGGTACCGGAGTTGGTACAAGTAAAGTATGCCATTGAGGTATATGTATATATGAAAATGCTACGGTTACGTTACGGAACATTTTTGTCGGGATTTGTAACCGTTGGATCATCATATAACCGTTGGGGGTAGTTGATCTAACGGATATAAACCCCGACGCAATGGTTTGGTAACGCATCTCCCATGTGTGTATGTGTGTGTGTGTGTGTGATGTTATTTTGTTGGCTTATTGCCAATTTTTTCATTTTCCTATCAATTTTATTTGATTTGATTTTTCTAATGTTAATTGTTTGTGTGTACATGAACACTCATCTTTCTCAGATACTGTTAAACATCACATTATTCCCTCATGTCAAGAAAAAGATGGACAGCTCATTGGTTTGTTGGATAAGAAGGGAACAAGCAAGGTAAAGGGCCAATCAAATCTCGGCTACTGTGGCCCCATGCAAACTGAACAGGATCATGACACGTGTAGTCATCCTAAGGTTGAGAGTGAAGTGAGCTGAGGGATTTCTTGTCTTGTCAATGTATATAACTGTGCAAAAACCCTAGCAGCTGTAAGCTTACCATTTCAGTGAAACACAAGGCAATAATGTCGATTTTCCATTTCCATGCTTGCTGCGATTTTCTATTTTTCCTTTCATGGTATCAGAGCGGGTGTGACAACCCGTGACTGATCCATTTTTATTTAACAATCCAGATCCTCAGTAATCTTTAGCAGTCATGAGTCACTCAAGCATCGGATCT